CATCTCAGAAACAAAGCACACAAAGTGTTTGCAGACATTAGTTTTCTGTGTGTAGTCATTTTACTTCACTGTGTAGGCAACTTTCAAAACAACATACCATACAGGATAAATATGGGAATATTTTTTAAATTTCGAATTATACAACATTTAAAGGAGTCATACAGGCTTTACGTGCTGTGTGCGAGAGAGAAGCCCTGGACATTCATTGAAAGGACTTCACAAGAGTGGAAGAGCCCTTCCTGTGGAAGGCATAAGCTCTGACAGTGAACACACATTCACAAGTAGACTGATCTCTGTAACTTTGTGCTGCCTCCTCTCTCTCCCACTGACGAGTGAACATGCAGGACTGTGAGGGTAAGAATCACCAAGCACTCTCTGATTCTGGGTCAGAGCTGCTGATTCTGGTGTCTCTGACAATGTCACTCAGATAATTTCACAGGAGCACAATGACAAAGCACGTGCAGCCAATGAGGTGAAGAAATCCAGTTGGTCCTCTCCACTTTCTCTGTGGGCATCACAGAGAAAGAGCTGCACTCTGAGCCCTGAACTTTTTCAAAGGCTGTTAATTCATTCCCAAGAACCTCCTTTCTGAGAGGGAGGGGCTTCACCAGTTCCCTCATTCAACCAGAGCATTTGCTAATACGTTTAGTTAGCAAAAGTGGTACAGTGTTTATCAGGGACTTATAGTCAAGGGTAATGTTGTTACACGTTACTAACCATGCTTAATTTTTAAATGTTTAAAATATTTGGAAGGATGAACTAAAAATATCTTTCATTTCCTTCGCTAACGTTTAGAATGCAAATCAAAACCATAATTTACCTTAGATAAACTTCATGTAAAAGGCAAAAAAAAAAAAAGATCTTCATTAGGATAATGAACTAGAAATGTCTGCTTTTAATCAGTGTGGTAGTGTGTCCTTAAATCCACTGTCAAACTACCTAATACGGTAAAATAAATAACTGAATGTTATTTGCAATTTCTAAATAACATCAGTCATTACCAGCTGCCTTGGGCTTTTCTAGGTGATTGAATAATTATCCTTTAATCAAGACAGTAATGAAGAACTGCCCTTTGTAGGTTTTGGGTATTTAGCTTCAACTTTATTTCATTAGGTTTATCTGTAATTCAAGGCAAGCAGCTGTCTATTTTAAACATGGACATCCACAGTGAATGTTCTATAACAAATTGTGGACCTAATTGTCAGGTCTGCTTTCTAAGCTTCAAAATGCACAATTGGTTAATGGAAAATCCTTTGCCTGCCCTTGAACTAAATCCATCAGATTTCACCATTAATAAAGCACAAGCCTATAGTTATGAATGTGTTGGCTTTTTGGATGCATGCCAGATGTGAAATGACTGAAATAAAATTATAGACTACTCTAAGAGAAGATCTAAAGTCATAGAATTCCTCAAGAAATACATGTGTGAGAATCAGAGTTACTAAAAGAAATAAGTTCTCTTGTCAATTCAGTACAAAGTCAGATGGAATTTGAAAACATCATCAAGTGTCAAATTCTATTTGTTGACACCAGTAATCAATGCAAGAGAAGGATCTTTCTGTATCTGCCCTGTATGTAGCAGCTGAACTGGAAGATGCTGCCTCAGAGCCAGCCTTGGTGTGAACGCTTGCTTACATTAGTATTTTCTTAACATTAACAAAAGAGATATTCTGAGAATTGGCAATGAAAACTCCCTGGGGGTGGGGTGGGGAAACTTTGTTGTGATTAGACAGAAATTTGAATGAAATCAAACTTGAAATAAAGCTCCACACCTCACCTAGCACACTGAGTGTGCTTTAGTCACGAGAACTGGAGTCCTGTCAGTTCTGATACGCCCAGCTTGTGCTCTCCGGTTCTTGTCTCTAAGGCGGATGATAAGCACATCTGTTATTTTGTCTCTATGAGACTGAGACACACATCCTTTTCCTACAGCATCTACACTAAACAGGGGTTCTCATATGTCCTTCAGGTAAGGCTACATTCTTGAGAAAATCATGCTGGGAATAAGATAAAGGCAGATTTGAGATGTAGGGTGAAGGCTGGGTTTGATGAGTGCTCATGGGGCAGAACAGTGGGAGACTTTGGGATTGAGCATTTCCTCAGATTTGGGACACCAGCTGTTTCACTGGCCTCACTTGGGACTGGCTCTATCATTGGTACCAGACAGACAGAGGATGGAGAAAATCCTGAACAGAAGATTTAAGAGAAATAAGGATCAAGAAATGAGGATGAGCCATGTATGCATAAAAAAGAAAATGGAAGAAGAAGACATAACTACAATGTAGTGTTAGCAAAGACAGATGGCATCATAATACATTTGCTGGGCCCAAAGCTAGAAATAAAATAGTAGAACCAGTAAGACATCCCAGGGGGTAATGGGGCTTGCTGCCAAGTTAGATGGCCTGAGTTTGGTTTCCCAGACCCATGCTGTGGAAAGATAGAACTGATGCCTACAATTGTCTTCTGAGTGCAACATGCATGCTGTGCTTGTGCACATGACTATGTGTATGCTGCATGCACACACACACATAAGCACATATAGTAAAATGAATAATTGTAACGACAAAAAAATGTTTCAAAGAGATAAAGAGATGATGCAGTGTGTCCCTTCAGACACAGAGAGTGCACTTCCACAATGCTACACACACCCTCGAAGGCATTAACGATGCCAAAACCCTCAATACTGTGATTTTTTTTCCAGAAATACACACCTATGATAAAGCTTAATTTATAAATTACCACAGCAAGAGGTATTAGTTAAAAATAAAGTAGAAAATATTTAACAAGTTTGTACTAAAAGTTGTTTAGAACTACTTTTTAATTTTTGTTATTCTCTATTTAATATTTTTGAACTTCACTTGCATATGTTTAGCTGAGATGACAAAACAATGAAGTATGGCAGCTTACCACAGTGTTGTGAACACAAAAGCAAAATTAACTAGTGTGCCCATTTTACAGGTCATGACATCAGGGTATCTTGATGATTACTTGGGGACAAAGCTTTTATCTAACAGGGTTTGCTTCTTCACTTCCCACTTAGGATCTGAGATTTTCCTTCCTCACACCTTACCTATTTGCTTCTATGCTCTCTTATTCAAATCTGAGCTATCTATATGCAGAGAACTTAGTAATCATTTTTTAGAACACAGTCAACTGGGGGGAGATTGGATTCACTTGGTCTTAATATTTTTGATAGGAATAATTTACATTACTTTAATTACATTTCTCTATTTTTCTCTTCCTTTTCTCCCCCACTTCCAAACTGGATTAAAAAGAAGAAGTTGATCTTCACATTTTTCTTATAGGAGATTTTTACACAAGGGATGACGATTTACTCTATTTTTTTGTATAAAAATATGAATTATGCTTTAAAAGCAAAAACAAACAAAAAACCTTGAAGGGAGAAATACACACACACACACACACACACACACACACACACACACTATTAGTATTTATAAAATAGCATTGTTTTCTGGAGCTGGAAAGATGGCTCAGATGTAAGGAGCATTGGCTGCTCTTCCAGAGGACCAAAGTTCAATTCCCAGCACCCACATGATTGCTCACAGCAATCTAAAGCTCCAGTTCCAGGGGACTCACCGCCCTATTCTGTCCTCTGCAGATATTGCATGCCTATGATACAAAGACATAACTGCAAAAACACATATATAAAAGAATGAGTCTTACATTTTAATTGATTTTTCAGAATCCTTTATGTATAGTAGATTAGAAGTCCTGTATCAGACATGTGTTTTACAAAAATGTTGTTTACAACTATAGCTTTGCTTTTGGTGCTTGGTGTCTTTCAAAGAGAAATTAATAATTTTATTAAACTCACTTTATTGTTCCATTGCTTCTAAAAATTATTTATAAACTTCATAATTTTATAATTTTATACATTTTAAAGTTTAGTTACAATTCTAAAAATTGTTTATAATACCCAAGAAAATATTTGTTTTCATGGGATCACAAAGACTCCCTACATATTTTTTTCTAGGAGACTTTTACACAAAGGATGATGATGATTTACTTTAAATTTCGTATAAAAGTATGAACTGTGCATTTTTATTTGTACCTAGATCTCCAGTGTTTCAATTACACAACTGTAACGGTCATTTCTCAGACATATCTAGGTCTGTGACCTACTTCTCCACTCACCTCCATTGCCCTGTGCATGTGTGCATTGGACATCGCTGGAGGGGCTGACTATTGTCTGTAACAAGTACTACAATCAGGCCACCCTATTCTTCAAACATTGTTCTAATTTTCCAAAAATATATCATATATTTAAATTCCTTTACTTTTTATTGTAATTTTAGAATTAGTTATTCTAATCCTTCAGGATATTTGATTGGAATTTTGGTGGGAAGGATACTGAAGGCAGGTTAGACTGGCTTTTGAGCTTTACAATCTGGGTAGCAAGTATTCTAACAATAGAACAGCAGGCTCAGATAATGAATCAAAACAAAACAACCCAAAAAACAAAAATGAAAAACCAATGCCACAATGGACTTTAAATATGCACAGACCAGACAAAGATATTAAACTTCCTACCACTGATCCTGAAAATCCTAGGAATGCAGCAATGCTGACTGGATAGAGTTACTGATGACTGAAAAGGTAAAGGGGTTATGCAGCCAGCTCCTACTGCAGAAAGGAAACACCCCCAGTTATATTATCAAGAGAGATAGTATTACAGCAGCTCTTTGTTGTCAAGCTTTGCATGGGATAAAGAATAGATCTGGCCAGAGATCCATTCACCCATGTTGATGTTCTCACACACATAGTCATTTAGAGGTTAAAATCTCCTGTTTGTCTCACAACTAAAATAGGAATTTCTGAAATGCCCCAGAGCCCTGTCTTATGCAGTGAGCTAAAACTCATTAATCATAAGCATGATAGTCTAGTGCTTTCCAGGCACATCTCTGCTGTGGTCATTTTCCAAGTTATTAGATTGTACAGAACACTTAGAAGTATTTCGCCTGGGTGAGGATCTGTACCTGGTTGGCTAGTCAGTCCTTGAAGAGATTCCTGGAGCTGATAAGTTGAGGTTGACGATGATGTGCCATCGGCTGTGTTATTTGATGTCATGTACGCCCCATAGCTTGATGCCGAGTAATACTGAGCATATTGGTTTTGGCCAAAGGCTGTGTAGGATGGGTAATCCTGAAACAAATAAGTGATATGTATGGGTACAAAAGAACACTTAACATTTAGTACAGTCTAAGGGAGCAAGCTAACCCCATCATCATGGCAACCAAATGTGATCAGTTCCATTTGCTCTCCAGTTCATGGGTTGGAGTTGATGATGTTAATGAGTGGAGCTTATCTTCTGGGCACCTCACAGATGCAGCAGTGATTAATTTCACTATAAGTTTTCAAACCAAGTCTAATGCAAGAATATAAATCTGACTAAGGGACTTTATGCCATACATACTGTGCACCAAAAGGGAAGAGGATCAGTAGTCAGTTCATATGCGTTCCCGTCTGTTCTTACACATTGCCTAACACTATCAGCAAGGAAGTGTTGCCTATCCTCTTGACTTCTACACAGACCTCAATGTGTATATTTTTTCTAATTTTTCTTCCTTTTCTAGTCCTTGCTTTTTCATTCTGTCTTTTTGACAGTTGTTATAAAATAAATAAACAGGTTTTCTAGCCACCACAAACTATCTTATATACCTAAGGCTTAATTTAAAGTTTTCAGTAAGGTTTTACTCAAACATTTAGCTTTTCTCCTTTGATGCGTATAAAATGAAAGCATTGACTCAACTTTCCTAACCCATTTTCTATTAAAAAAACTTAAAATGATAAAAACGATCCTCCAGTAGCCTGTTACATATTAAGATGATGAGTAAAGGCTTGTGATAAATGGTGTTTAATATATCTAGTGTGGCTTAGCCAAAAATGTTATCAGTGATGACAAATCCTTGGTCAGGAGGAAGGTCCCCTGTTATGATAAGTTCTGAAGGGAACAAAGATCCATAGTTGATGTTGTTTCCAAATGAGAAAAATCTTTGTATAACTAAATACATTTATTATCAGGAAGCAATAAGTAATATGTCAGGAAACTAAAATTCTATTAGCCGGTCTATCATCAGGATCTGATGTTCCACATCACATTCTGTGAGCTAAATAAAAAACTTCAATGTTTGAACAATGTTTTTAGCAACCTTTCTTTCTCTGAGAGAAGCAGTAATGACAAATAGCAAGTCTGGCTTTGGGTCATATTGCTCTATGGGCTTACGTGGATTGGCTTACTTGCCTCTCAGAACCTTGTCTGTTGGTATCATTATTATCATTTTATATTTAAAACTATGAAGCCATATAACTTTAAGTGATTTTCATTCCAGTCACACAGCTTGTGAGATTCTAGACTGGAATTGTAGCCATAGGAGTCAGATATAGCTCCTGTGTTCTGTAGCTCTGCCAGTCTGCCTGGCCTCACCAGGAAAGGACGGTACATACCAGGAAAATCTGCCAGCCTCCTCTGGGTAAAGTGGTAGCTTTTGTATTCAGATATATCTCTAAGGTTTCATCTTTTATTTCTTTTGTTGTTGTTGTTTTGGGCTTTTTTTTTTTTGTTGTTTTTTTTTTTGAGACAGAGTTTCTGTATGTAGCTCTGGCTGTCTTGGAACTCACTGTATAGACCAGGTTGGCCTCGAACTCAGAAATCTGTCTGCCTCTGCCTCTCAAGTGCTGGGATTAAAGGCGTGTACCACCATTGCCTGGCTGGTTTCCTCTTTTCTTATTTCTACTTTCATCATCTTCATCTAAGCATTCTTCATTTCCTGTTGAAGCTGTTGTGTGTGTTTTCTAACTTGTCTTATTTCATTTCTACTTTTGGGGCAATTGCCTCAAAGCACAGATTATATGATATTCTCCTATTCCAAAGCATTGATATCTTTCCAGTGGTCCATGACTACAGTCAGAATTCTTACTGAAGCCTACAAGACCCCACGTGACCAGGCCTAGTCTACTTCTTCCATGAGAAGGCTTACAGGACCTATGTGACTGGGCCTAGTCTACCTTTTCCTGTGGTGTCTCTACCCAGTCTCCTAAGGGATGTCCTGGATTCCAGACTTCCTTTAGTTCAACAGCGCATTGACCCTAGCTGCCTCATCTCCCTGTAACATTTTGTCTTTGTTCCTGACTTCATTCCGATGAATCTTGACTCAATCATGGCTCTGATAGGAAAGCCTTGCATAACACCCTCCTGTGCAATAGTAGGTTTCTATGGACATTTTAGCAGGATCTTTTGTCTTCCTGTTATTCTGCTGTCTTCTTTATCTGTAGACTGAAAGTTCCATGAGACAGGAGTGAAGCCTATCCAGCCACACCACAATCTCCAGGTCCCAAGTAAGCAGAGTTTCCTGAGTTTATCAGGTACCCAGCATGTTTTAAATGATATATTGGTACTCAAACCTTGATCCCAAATACAATTATGATCTCTACAGATCCATTATGAATTCTCAAGCAGAAGTTGATCTATTTGTAGTGGAAACTTTATAAAGTTTTACTGCTCTTTATATATTGCTATTGTATCATCTCAGGGACAGTAGTGTTTCGTTTATGCTGCCTTCTGTCAAGAGTATTTCTCAGTGATTACAGTGATTACAATAAAGACTTGACTAATTTTGAACGTCAAATGACTAGTCAAAAAATATGTGTATCAAGTGTTCAATAAATGTCTGCTGTATAAATACATAAAATTAAGTTAGCAGAGATCATCAGTTTTATGTTGTTTTCTTTTGCAGAAAGTATAGTGCTAAAAGATCTTTTTAAATTAAAGAAATTATATACTTTATATCTTTCAAATATTTTAAGTAATACTATTTTAATAAAATTTCCTTTGGCCCTTTTGTTATGTTTCTAAACCTACAAGAAGGCAATAATAGAATTCTTTATTAAATACAAAGAGAAAGCATTCATGAAATAACTTATAATTTTGAAAATGTATAAAAACATAGTAATTGTATTAAAGTAAAAGTACATTGTCCATCTAGAAATCATCTTCCTTTCAGTCTCAGCCATTCTGAACATGTTTGTGAATCAGGAAACAAGGACCCAACTGTGAAATGTCAACATAACCATGACCATCTGTGTTCCAGGATGCTCACATAGGAACATTTACTCTTATCACAGTGTAATTCTATCATCCTAGATTTTAAAATTCATGGAAACATTATTAAAATACAATGAGGAGAAGAGTTAAGTGCTACTAGAGGCTCCCTGACCAAAGAGAAAAGTAGAGTTGTCAGGGAGGTGGCAAGCAAAGATTTATTAAAAGAAATATAGATCTAAATAACAAAAAAATTAAAAACCAGCAGTAGTTCTGCAGACTTTAGTCACTGGATTCTGGTTTAGAGTATACATTACAATCTTATGATTGATTCTAGTTCAATGTATTAAGTATGTTATATTACATGAGCAATTTCTGTCAAGGGAAATAAAACTATGTATATGTTAGCTTAAGATAAAAAATCATGCAATATATCCCATAATAATATGATAGACGATTAAAATGACTATAGTTTAGGTGTTTAATGGGTAAACCTTTAACAGTCAACAAGAAGAATAAAGACCTAATAATTCTGAATAGGTAATTTTTTACTCTGTTGAATTGTTATTTAGTTTTAAACAAAGAGCCTGATTTTCAGATCATGTATGCTTACAAGGTAACCAAAAAGAAATATTTAAGTTCACAATATACATGTATGACATTCCTAAAGAATTAATAAAGTTATATTTAAAGAAATTCTTCACATCATCTTCTCCAGGTAAGAGTTTCTTAACTGCATTCAGTATCAAGTGATCAGCTCTGAAATAGTCTATACATCCAAAATTTAAAAAAAAAAAAAGAGAGAGAGACAATGAATTTTGAAGAAAGCAGGAGCAGGAGCTTATGGGAAGGGCTAGCAGTAAAAAGGATGGGGAGAAAATGATGTAATTATAGTTTTATTTCAAAAATAAAAAAATAAAAACTTTGAAGAATAAATAAAAAAGATCTTCCTAATCTCAAGAAGTCTAGCAAGGAAGAGACAGAGTTTTTCAAACTCTGCATAAAGATAAATAAGGGGTTACAGCAATTATAAATTATCTGTAACTATAAACTATAAATTGAAGAAACCTAAAACTTTCAACAGAAAATTTAAAAGGTGTAAAACTACCATACCTGTTGTGAGCTGCTGAAATTTGTTGAATTAGAAACAGAATTATTTGCATAAATAGTAGACGATGGCGCAAAACTGGAGCCTAGGGGAAAGATGAAACAGAGTTTAACGGTTTCCATGTTGATTAGGCAAGAGGGACTGAAATGTGGTCATTTGTGGCTGTGTGATGGATGAGGACACTGTGCTAAGTGAAGTAAGCTAAGCAAAGAATGATGCACAATGCACAGAACTCCATCATGTGAAGAATGCAGGCAAGGGGATCTCAGCAAAGCAGGGGAGACAAGGATGGTGGTGAAGTCTGGGTGAAGAGGGTGGAAATGTTGGTCAGTGGCTTCCAAGCAACTCAAGAAATCAGTGCTGACACTCTATTGCTCAATGACTGAGAATAACACAGGTCACAGGAGAGGTACAAGATTGGATTTTGAATAAGTTCCCTATATATAAATTATGAAAGTTTCAGGATGCACACACACTTATCCTGCCTTCTACATTATATGCCATATTAAAATATATGTCAAAGTAACCTCCCCCCCAACTCAGGAAATAGGTGCTAAATTATATATATAATCATATATATATAATAAATTAGAAAATAAAGTTTATATTTAATCAATCGCTTTTTGTTATATGATTAAAAATATTTCACTTTATAGAATCGGCAAGAGAGAAATTATTCAAGCCTGTTTTGGTTACTGAACTTTGAAATCTGAGAGATTTGAAAGCTGCACTCCATTCTAGCTCCCTACTGACAGCAGACAAGGAACCTGAAAAGCTACCTCTGCAGTCAGCCTCTATGAGTCATTTCACAACATTTATTTAGAAGAACCTCAGGCTTCTGATTGTGCCTGCTTGCCTGAGTGCCTGCCTGGGGGCTCTCGTTGCTTTGCTTGCCCTTCATTTCCTGCCTGAGCTTAACCTTAAATCTTTACAACTGGTATGCATCATCTTTCTCCACCTGCACCAAGCTGTTTTCATCTGCCTGGTACTTTGCCTTTTCTTAGGAAATCATCTGAGCCTTGGTGAGACTGAAAACCACCGTTCCTAAGTCTGAAGTCACATAGTCACATTTAAAGAATCCATTGTATTATTTTTTCCAGGAACATGTTTTATGACTGACCACTTACCTGGCATTTGATAAGAGTAAGTTGTCTGGCCTGGTTGTGGGGTAGAAAACCCAGGGCTGTAGCTGAGGCAGCCACTCTGTAACGGGGGCTGAGTTTGGGAAAGCCCACTTTCTGTCTTGATGGCTGGTAACATCACACCAAGATCTATTTAGGAAACACACAGGCAAAACACTTGGTTAGTAAAACAACGTCCCTCAGGGCTGGGACTTGCACTAGTGTGGAAAGCTCCCAGCCAACAGATGATTGCTGATGTGACCTACCGTAGGCAGGCAGGCTGTAGGGCTGTCCTGTCTGTGAGTAGGCTGTGTAGACGGCCGGCTGCTGCATCCCAGAGTACTGAGTTTGGCCTGCATAGGCCGACATTGTTTGAGCTGCTGGTGTAGAAAGAATGTGTGGATAGGGCCTAAATATCAGAAAAATAGCATTACTGTGGCACAAAGACTGCATATCAGTTGAAACAGCTCAGCTTCAGTGAAATCCTGTAACACCCAGGAAGTAAGCCCATTCCTTATTCCCAACTTGTCAGAAATGAATAAAAGTTGAAAAAATGAATAATTTTTTAAAGGATCCTGAGGCTTTGATGCCATCTAGTCTGGTGACCCTTAACAGATAATATAAAGACTTGAAGACTACATCTCATCTCTAAAATAAGCAATGGCTTTAGATGGCATATTAAGTTTTCTCTAGATCTGCATTTTTACATTTACATCTGAACTAGCACTCCGTTTAGTACATACATGGGGAACAATGGTCATAGCCAGCCAATGAATGTATTCATAGTATATTCACACTCACCACAGGTGTTCCCGTGATATATATTAATTACAAAAGTCTACTTAGCAACCCTTCTAAGAATTCACTACTCTAAATTGGAAATATGAGAGAAAGGAAATATCTTCTTGTAAAGAAATGGAATTCAGTTATTTTCATTGGTCCATTTTGTACATGTTCCCAACTAGAACCCAGTCCTTAGCCTGTATTTAATGTATCCTGGGTGTGAAAGAACATAACTTATTGTATTTTAATGTGAATGCACAGGAAAATGAATCTTGGCATATTGCTAAACAAACAAATCCAGATATAAACCCATTAATCCGATATAGCTAAACTGCAAACTGACCTATCTTCCCTGTCCTCAAAACAGATGACTATGCTAGTTTTAAAAACAACACAGCAAACTTTCAAAAGTGTCTTTACTGTAACTTGGAATCCTAGAAAATATAACGGTAAGGGACTGGATTGTAAAATATTGGTGTTTGGTTAAAGTATGATCTCTGTATATTTTCTTCTAATCACTGTTTCTTGAATTTTCCATGAAAATAGAGGACAAAGTTATTTTAAGATCCAAATTCAGTGCATATTCATTTAAAAGCTCAAATACATTTTAAGTTACATCTATTATGCTTGTAAGTAGCATTTCATATGGATTCTTGCTTATTTTCAAGATAGTGTACAAAAATCATTACATACTAAAGATTTAAAGAAAAAACTTTATATAGCAGAAAATATCATTATGTTTGAATCCAAAATAATATTCAAGTGTCCTGGTTTGAAGAATTTTGAAGCTTTATTTGTCTACATGCTTCTTGTTTTCCTCAGAGCAGGAGAACATCAGGGATTACCCAGACAATTGGATGTTTCTAATTCTAGGAAAACGTACTCTTTCACATCTAATCTAATGCATCACACATAATATAATGTATCACATTTAATCTAATGTAATCACATTTAATCACATGCATCTGTCCAGATTTAATAGTTATATGCATCCACACTTCCAATTTAAAGTTCTCATATGTGAATATAAAATTAGCACATGTTATTTCAAAAAAAATCTCTCCAATCAACCTGAACACTCTGGGCACTTACTTGGAGGGGTACAGCTGTGGGGAGTACTGGTGTGCCGACCTGGGGCTATAGCCGCTGCTTGTTATTACTATAAGACACAAACGACAGCACATAGAGCATCACTCCATGAACACATCTTCACCACAAAGTGTGCAGCCTACTTAGGAAAACTGCAGATTAAACACAGTGCTTAAAGTTCACATCTTTTTCAAACTCATTTCAAATAGAAGCAGTTGATTTAGACACCATCTTCCTATTAAAGTGTTTCAAGTTTTGATGCAAGAGTACAAATTGTCTGTTTCTCCCACAAACACTGTTAACCTTCCATTTTCTCACAACCCTGCTACACTCTTCTGTACTGATAGCTTATTGGCAAATGGCTTTGGTTACACAGTAAATTTTTGTGATATGAAAGTCAATATTTTATGTGTGCAAACTTTACAACTTAAACCCAAATACAATACCAATATACTGAGTCCATATTTATTCTAACTAAAATAAAACAATTGCTAAGAGATTCGGGGTTCAAACTTTCATCCCTTGACTGTAAAATGCTACTGGCTCCAATCTCTCCTGGTCCATCAATCAGATGGGTGCTTTAAAATGTACAGTCAAAATATTTGAGTAATAAGATTGTGCACAGGCAGCACCGGCTATCGATAAGCTGGCTCGCTTTAAGCGGTGTAAAATGCTGTACCAATTATCTCTTCAAGCCTGTTTTGAACCATAAAAGATGTTTTTAGGAGAAGACCTTAAAATGGAAAGTCAAGTTATTTCAATATTTCATTCAAATATGCACCCCACTGTGGAATGTATCCAGAAGTTTGGAAGTCTTTCTCTCTTTTAGGCATCTGCCTTGACTCTGACTGATGTACTGCACATACAAGGATTCTGATGTGTTGAGCCAGCTCCGTCCCAGCCAGTCCATACTGGGCAAGCACACAGAGTGTCTTTATTAGGCCATCTGCTGTTCATTCACGTTTCAAAAAGATTAAAGTAGTACACAACACAGTGCTGGCATGAATTTAGTCTAATCAATCATAGTTAGACTTCAAAGCACTACACCCTTTCTGAGCTGCTCCTGTGAATGCTGGAGCTAAACATTTAGAACGGCAAAAAGTGACAAATAGGTTTAGGTTGCTGGCTGGTTCATGCAATATGATATGTTTCTATGTCCAAATGCTATCAAGTGCCCCCGTGAGCTTCACAGACATGTGTGCACTGCGCTTATGACGCTGTGTGCTTGTCTTAAGTGTACAATGTATTTAAAATGCTGCTTGGTGGGTAAGAGTAGAGTAAGGAAATAAAATTTTAACTTTCATAGCAATAGTGTAGTAAGCACATGTTACCCAATACTATGAATCTGTTTTGAGAGCCATTGAATTGTGACCATAATGGTGTTCTGAAACATTTGGGGAACTGGATTTAAGTGAATTTTCAATTCAATTCAAATTTTATTTGAAAATAAAACATTACTCTTCTCTTAGGTTCTCCAAAACCAAAAAGAATTTAAAAAAAGCTTGAAATCAAATAAATGAGAATAGATCCTTGTGCTATGTTCCATGGAAACTAAATTTATGTTTTTAATAGAAACCTCTTTAAGAAAAGCTTAATTTCACATTGATTTTTTTTTTTTTTTTTGCTTTTTGATAGGACTCTCTGTTGGCATGATTAAAACTTGAGCTAAAGGCTTGATTGATGTTTGAAACTTTATATTAATGTCTGTAAAATAGGTTAGAAGACAAAACCTTTGGCTTAGAAAACTGAGCTGATTATGAAAGTGATATAAGTTCTTTACTAAATCTTATCATTTTTATTCAAGTTGATAAATGTCTAGAAAGGTTACGCAACAACACAGTTATTTAGTTATGTTGATCCTCGTGGAAGCTGTCTCTCCAGAAAGATCTGCAGATTGCTTTGGGAAAGTCTAGGAACTGTTGTGTCATGCTTCATTACTCTGTAGTGACTCATACACATCCATCAAAGCACCAGACTCATTATGCTTAATACGCTTGATCATTTCTACCAACATAAGGAGGCAGTGCTGCCTGCCTTTGGACTGTCTTGAGAATTGAGTTTGTAGTCTATAATGAATGCCTATTACCAGTTTCTCACAGGATGGGATCAAGAAATGTTAAACCTGTTACTCCTTTACCATAATTTCCTTTTTAACTCAGGAAGAAGAGAGCAGTGGGGGGCGGGAAGGGGTGTTTAGCCTGGTACTGGATGTTTTATGGTATCACAGCTAGGGTACTACTGATATTTGAACTACACACAGAACTCTGCCGAATGTCTCAAGCTGCAGCCTGCAGTGACTGCAGAATCACTGCTTGTGGAGAACGTCTATTTTGAACCTCTGCCGTCCAGTAGAGTCTCCACAGTGTTAGGGGTGGTTTGCATTTGAGTTTCCACTCAGGTAGCCATTAACCACAGTTAGGAACTACATAATTGGAAGGTGGACAGTTTAACCAGAAATATATTTTGTTTTATTTCAGTAAATTTTAATTTACTGAAATTAAATAATCATGTGTTGGAAGTGGCTACTTGACTTAGATCCTGGAGCCCTAGAGAGTTCTTAGCAGAAAACTAAGAAAGTGTCTTTAGATGTGCTGTGAAGGACAAACAGGAAGAGTACTTACACTCATTCTTTCTCAGCCATCACAGTTCCCAGGACAATACCATAGTCAGGGCCTGATTGTCAGCACATGGTTCTAGACTAGTCTATGCTTGACTATGTGGCCAAACCACTCTGGATGTTTTTGAGGACTTTTGTATTCTTATTTGTAAACTGGACTGTAAAGTTCTGAAATTACAATCTGTACATTGGCAACTCACGTTTCAAAGAACTTGTATATTCTTGAAGCACAATAGCAACTGCTTCATAATCCAATACCCCCCTAAAATATTTGCATACATTTATTTTGTAGAAAATTAACAGTAGTTACGGTTAGCGAGCACCACAGGGTAATATAATATGTTTGTGTCTATTTATCTCCTGTGAGGCAGGTGGGTTGCTGATAGCAATGCTCATTGGCACACATGTGTCTTTAGGCCAGGCTAGTTCACTAATGTTTATTTCTGTCTGGAGTACTAGTATTTATGTGCACATATGACAACTGTTATAACTGGTGAGAACTAATAAAGCTGGATCATCTGTCTCCATAAAAGTAAAATATGTTTCATAACATTAGACTCAAGGTGTCCCTCAAATCTTTCTGCATAAAGCACACCCACATAAAATCCTTGCACATGAGAACATGGCTAAACATAACATATATGAAAGCAGAGCTACACAACCAAGACTTAACTAGCGTAATACTTTTCTGGGCTTCATGTTTATCTTTGTGATAATACAAGTTCCTTCTTGAGTTTGCAAAATTTTATTGATTAGATAATAAGCCATACAGAATAGTAATTTTAAAAGAGCCTTTAAGTCAACTTAATTTGTACTCTTTAGGCCCAGCTGGGAGTTGTCAGGTATTTATATTTAAAAAGGATTGATGTTTAAAGACATACTATTGTTCTCTTTGAAGCAGGGGACCACTCTCCCAGGCTGGGTTCTAATGTGACCAGCATGTGTTCTCCAGAAACCCATTAACCTTTAATACTTGTCTTTCAGCTGCCTACACAGGAGTACTTTCTTAAACCCAGAGAGGAAACAAGGTTATTTAGAAGGAATCAAATGGATAGTTTTACATCTAGAAGGGTAGACAGAAGGCAGTTTTTAATGTAATTTAAACGGGCAAGTTGAAGGAACAAAGTTAGCTATTATGGACCTAATTATTAAATTGATCAAGCAGTGTATAAAATAATGAAGAAAGCTGGCTCTGCTAATGAGAACATCATGGGATTGTTACCGTGCAGGCTGAAGGGTTGGCAAAAATGTTCCAATAACCATTTCAGAAAACACGTAATTTCAAGACAATTAGTTCTTCGGGAAAGTGGGTTTCTGGCAGATCTTATAACAGTGAAAACTCTTACAGCTTTGAGCCTGTGCTGCTCTCAAGGTGAAGGATGTGTAGGGACCCCAATGTGACACGAGCTAAAGGCTTTACCTGACCCAGTAAAAGTGTCAAGCGCTCCATCTCCAGTCGTGGTAGTAGTCTCACTGCTGTGCAAGGGCTCTGTTTTGACTGCAAGAAGAGACACTACGCAGAAGAATAAGTACAGGTGAGTTTTACTTCTATATTCAAAGCAAAGGCCCTGGCTGCTAATTTATATTTTTTAAGCTATCATGGGCATGCAAGAGAAAAGAGAAAACTTAAGAAGTGAATGAGGAAAAGCTTTGTTAATTTAGCTTCTAAGTGGGCATGCATTTATAGAAGATTTATTCTAAAATCCTCTGGCTGGGCTGGTTCTGAGAGTCTGGCTTTTAAAGGCTGGGAGACTTCAAAAGTGAAACAGTAGCACTTGTATTTGCATTTTTAAAAATCTCTCTTAAGCATACTTTCACACACTAACAGGCAGATGAGAAGTCTACAGGGTTCCTATCACATTCAACTCAGGTCATCGCAGAGGTATTTACAACTGTAGGTTTTATTCTTCCAAATAAAATAAAATATGTAGAGAAAATTGCATGAGGGTCCAATGGAGGCATAAGCAAATCCATGAAACCCTGAGCCTATTCTCAGCACAGGTAAAAAGACAAGGCACTCAGGAAATACTCTGATAAAACAAACAAATAAAGCAAAACAGTTCTTAAAGTGTTTCTGTTTAACAGTGTAACATTTTCTTTCGATGACATTGAGATCAGTACTGGATGAGAGAGGATGTCTGCAGCATCACAAGTTTCTCCATAAAATGCCTGACATACGTAATTTTGACAAAATCCTCCCTTTGCACAGAAGCGGGACAGCACACACTGTCGTCATTATCACATGCAATGACACAGCCTCTACCAATTTGGTCACACCATATTTTCCCTTTATTGACAAAAATCCTACCATATATATCTCATAGCAGTCAGGGAATAAACTAAGTTTTTTTTTTTTTTTTTTTTTACTTGACACATTTAATGTTCCCTGGCTGTTAAGTGGGCTGGTGCAATTAAGTAACTTAGAAGCAAGCAGACAACTAGAGGAGAGAATTTAATACTAGCCAGCCATGAGTCAGTGTGCTACAAAAGACTAGTGGGCTCATCCAGCACCCACCAACCAAGCAAGTAAGGAACGTGACCCCATTAGAGAAGCGGCTGGCTAATGGGAAGCATGCAGTGTTGTTACACCCTTCTGTAGCAAACTCAGCCAAACCCTCACTGAGGTCTAGCTTTAGTATACACAATTGGACAATAACATGTATTGGTAGCAGATTCAGAGAACTATAATGGTTGAATGCAGAAAGTTGAACACACACGTAGATACACACACACACACACACACACACAGGCACCCACTTTAGAATTACTTATTTTTGGAGAAGGGAAATTTAAAGTTTGCCTCTTTTTTAATAGTAGCAATAATCTGTTTAGCCTAGTTATCTGCAAAATAGTGAATAACAGATCTGTAGTTACTACATTTGGTAATTTTCATTCACGATGTAACGGATATATCTGATCTACATTTACCACTGCAAAAACAATGTACTATTACAAAGTTATTTACTATGCATCCAGACATGACTACATTTTAGAACATGTACATTCAACAAAGCTTGATTGGAATTCCACTGAATCGTTATACTTGGCATTTATGGTCTGTGTACCAGTGTGAAGCTGTCATATCCAGACAGTAGCTCTGAGTAAAACAAAAATGTGATTTCCTTTTAGTGTAATTGAAAATACTTCACTATGATGAGCAGCTGTAAAATACTGGGATTTGCTACTAGGCTGTTATGCATGTTTTCCTAATGGACTATTGTTTTAAAACAGACCGATAGGCACCAAGGTGTGCATTAGCACACACTCGAAACCTGCCTATCACATTCTAGGCAATCCAGGTGGATGGAAGTAAGCCATATAAATGACAAATTCATTTACTACCACGGCAGTTAGGGGACACTATTACCATCTCCATTTTTCAAATGATCGACTGAAGCATGAAACACAAAATCGCTCGCCCTGATCACATTGCTGTTAAGAGTTTGAGTTTGACATCAGCTGGTGAACTTGCACATCCACTCTCTACACTGTATTGCCTGCTAATTGGGATTCCTTTCTATCTGCATAAAGTTAACACAGGAGATGATCTAGATGAGTGTGAATCTGTCTCATTCAAAGTCCGCATCTTACTTATGACACCTATGACAAAAAGCGTAGCCCAGAAACTTCTGGAACTTGCAGACAAGAGACATTTTAGAGCTTTCAAATTCTAATATGACTAAGTTCCCATTCAACCATGTCTATGTCTGTAAACAGTATTGTAACAGAGATTTATTATACCTCTACTAGGATGTCTCCTTGAGAGACGAGGGGCAGAAGGTGAGCTGAGTTTGTCAAAACTGGTCTAGAAGCCAGACACGTTGATGGTGATTAGTGTTGTTACCATGGAAACAAATCTCAAGAGTTGATTTAGGCATCACTCAGCATTGGTTTTGATTATAATTTCCTGAATTTGAAAGCTTCAGGCAGTCAAAAGGAGATCGAAGAAGAGAAAGAGATGTTTGGTCCCATTCATAATTCTGGTGACATCTTTCATTAATTTAAAAAGTCTGTATTCAGGAAAAAGGTGGTTTATTTTACTGAGGAAAGCCGTCTCCTGGAGAGAATGTGAAGACATGCAGAAATACCAAGAGGTTCCAAGTGTTCTAACATGAATGAATTTTAAAATGACAAGGCAAAAAAACCCTGATACTAACATTTCGAGAAAAAATATATACATTAATGTCAAATTCCTTTTTCTTTGTAGGTAAGGGTAGTATAAAGTAGAAATAGGCAACGTTTATGGCTATAACATAGTGGGATCTAGTCCACGAGAGCTAAGCAGGGATAGCCTGGTTAATTCTTAGATAGCAGAAAAAGGAACAAAATTGATCACTTTTTCCCAAAATGTAAATTATTTTTACATTATATGGTCATTGGCAAATCACTTGAGGTCCTAGGAAGGTGCTAGTCATTTTGTTACTATTATTTGAAGAATGGGCAATTTGCTAATAATAACTATTCTGAGTTTTCTCAATGAGAGAAAACTCAAAAAGATAAATCAATGCTTTTATATCATTACAATTCTCAAAACATTAGAAAAAGATTATTAGATTACCTCTAATAATATAAAATGTGTTAAGTAGCAGAAAATATACATTACATCAAAATTATAAATAATCCTTTGTAATGGATGTTATGTCCACTGGGCTTCCAAAGATAATTGGTTTATATTCACATTTTTTCCATCTTGCTTTTGTTTCTGCATTTTAAATGAGATATAATGGATACAGTTCAGGTACCAAACTGTTTTTTAATGTTGTGTCTATGGTGCTATTAGAAAAATTTTTATTAACAAAACAAAAATCTTTGTTTTTAATTTTTTTGAAAACTTATAAAAATCCAAATTGAGCACATATTCATAAAACTATTTAAAAATATTTTAATTTTGTAATGTTAGTTTTGCAAATTAATATATGTCAAACAAATGTCGTTACCTATTTTTAGGATAGCCTCCAAAATCATTTACATATTAAAATGGAAGAAAAATCTTGTATAGTAGACAACTCCAAGTTTTATAGCAAGAGTCAAATTCTTGCATCAAATACTTTGAATTAAAATCAACATTCATACTCAAATGTCCTGGTTTGAAAGTTTTGAGGCTTTCTTTTCCTGCATGCGTAAAATAAGAAAGCTACAATACATTTCTCTCAAAGTGGGATAGAGTAAATCTCACTTCGTCCAGAATTGTTTTGTGAAGAAACCCTTGCTAAGTCATTCCTATAGCTGGGTACTTTACATAGAGACAAATAGTAGAACTGTACTTTTCCATACTTCAGCTTTTTAAAATACTTGCCATCTACAGACTATGTCCAGACCAAGTGTGACTATTGGCGGCTGTCATTTACAACTTCTGAATTCCCAGGTCATTTTTCATGCTTGTTCCTAAGTCAGTCATCAAAGCAAAGTTTATCTTGTCTCCTTAGAGTGTCTTTAGAACTTAGGCTTAACAGTAATATGTGGTATATTTTTGTGTGTGTATGGAGAAATTTATTTTATTATTATAACTCAATCTTAGTCCTTAGAAAGCAGGCCAAGTAATTTACAGTTTGCATTTCATTTTCAGAAATCTGTGCTTAAACTGGTACATATGTAACTCTGCATACTTCCCCCTCAGCCACAGCACACAGCTAATTCTTTCATTCAGCGTAATTTGGTCATGTGTTTTCATCTCCCAACTGCTCCCAAACTCTTGCCACCTCGCTCCCTGCCAGCTTCATGCTATCTGTCTCTTTCCCTGACTGTTGACAGATTCTGCAAAGAATCTTAACAAGAAATCTATTGAATATCCCAATTTACAACACGATGTGTAAGTGAGCATTGCCTTCCAGTTTTAATAACCACTATGACACATCATCTATGTTAATCTGGATCAATACATCATCTCAAAATCTTAGGCTTGCCTGTTAGTGCATTCTCTTCTGAGCTGTATAATAAATATTTAGTTTTGTGACAGAATTTGATGAAACAGTGCATGATTGTCATTCTACAAGAATATAACAAGAGCACAGTTACAGAACACAAAAAGAGCAGTGTAGCAGTAGGGAACTCTTCCTAAATAAATAAGTAGAAACAAGTTTACTAAATGAGAGTTAGCTGGCTAAATGTGAAAAGTTCTAGAAGTTTCCTTGATATCTACTTCAAATTTTACAAGTATAGCTGATGACAGTGTCATGTTTTTGGTTTTCCCAATCTTTTCTGTCAGAACTTCTTAAGCTCCATGAAGAGTTAAATCAACTGTTCTAGCTGTTCACTGAGCTTGGACACTCCCAGACTTCCATTGATATTTTCAAGTCTGTTTCGCTTTGTGCAGTGTTTTAGTGGCTGGCTGGTCAGAAGCACACTATTTGGAGCACTGAGTTCACATTTTCCAGTACAGGGAATGGAATATAATTGGGTCTCACTATGATTCAATTAAATGAGAAAGTAAAATGTACTCTCTTTAGCATTGTCTAAAGCACACCCACCAGATCTAAGTATTTGTATATGATATGAAAATGACTGATCCAAGGA